GAGTCAGAATATGTCGGACCGTTACAACATTCTTAGCCAGTTGGAGCACTTGCAGTCCAAGTACGTCGGCACTGGCCACAGCGACACTTCCAAGTGGGAGTGGCTGACGAATCAGCACAGGGACACATTGGCCTCCATCATGGGCCATCCCGACATGCTGAATTATGTAGCTGTTGCAGAGAATGAGACCAAGGCCAGAGTGCGGTTCAACATGATGGAGAAGATGCTGCAGCCTTGTGGCCCTCCGCCGCAGAAGAGTGACGATTGAGTTTTTTTGTTCATTCTGACTTTTTTGTGTTGTGGGATCTCTGTGCTTGTTTGCATCGACGTTCTGGTAATGAAGGTGTTTTTTTCTCTAATGAAAAGTCTTCTTTTTTAAATAGGATTGTAAGAGGAGTTATAAATTACAGTGAAGTACTTGATTGCTGTCAAAATCGATTTTTACTTTTAATTAGAGAAGATTGTAATGAGAGAAACTAGCAGAAAATTACTCAAAAATGATTGAAAGAGATTAATGATTCATTGGCTAAGAGGTACTCAGGTGCTTGTCCAGATTTTAAGAAATCATTTTGAAATGCTCAGGCTTTACATTTCAGCTTTTATGCATCCATTTTTTAAATTCCGATTGATGACTACAGAATACAGTATTTCCTTGTGCAGTGTGTCCTAAAACAAACAGTTCCACTCCATTTTCCTTCATTAAGTACAGTAATTATGTACTGTACAGTATGCATGCAAATTGATCAAGGTATGGTTGCCATTAGATGTAGGTGGAACAGGAATATTTCGCTGGCTCAAATTATACATAGTAAGGATTGACCACTTTTCCTCAATAGAAGTGCTGTACAGTACTAGAATTGTTAAATATAATTCGTGAATCTGTTTTTCGACAAATTTATTTTTGAAGGCTGGGAAAGATAAAAAAAACATAGCTTACAACACATCTAAAAACAATATGCCGTATAAAGTTCTGTTATGGAAAATGCAAGACACAACATGAGTGTATTGAAGAACTCAGCTGGAAGTCTTAATAATTTAGGCATTTTT